GATAGCTGTCATAGCAGCAAGCATTTTTTAAAAATGTATCAAAATTAGTGAATTTTTGTGGAGTCATTTTAATACTGAAGATGGAAGAAAATATGCAACATTTATGGCATTTGATGCTTTATCATTTCAAGAAAGGTTGAAATGCAAAAAAAGATCTGTGCAGTGTATGGAGAAGGTGCTATGACTGATCAAATGTGTCAAAAGTGGTTTGTGAAGTTTCATGCTGGAGATTTCTTGCTGGACAGTGCTCCATAGTCGGGTAGACCAGTTGAAACCAACAACGATCAAATCAAGACTTTAACTGAGAACAATCAATGTTATACCTCATGGGAGATAGCCAACATACTCAAAATATCCAAATCAATAAAGTTTTTGGTGAAAATGAAAAATGTGTCTTTTATTTTACAGAACAAACTAAATGGACCTTTTGGCCAACCCCAATGCATGTGGTCCCGTATGCCCTCCCCTCCCTGCTTCCTGTCACTCATTTAAATCACTGTGGCTACATATGGCTGATGAAAAAGTATGCTAACACACTCTCCCTGCCCGCCTCTTCCCCCAAATCTTAGGAAAAGCCCCAATTAAAGCAAGTCCCTTATGTTAGGCCTAGATTGCAAACGTCTCCCAACTACAGGAACCCGTTCCTGTTTCATCTTTAACTCTGTAGTGTGTCCTGCTTCCAGAGGCCCGAGCTAACCTGCATGCAGGAAACACTTAGGAACTATAGCGGAATGCAAGGGGCAGCGGTGACAATACATGTCCTGAACTCCTGCCTACTTCCGGGCTGTCATTACCACACTCCGTTTGTGTTTCAAAGGTGCTGTTTTCATTGCTTCTCAGCCAGGACAGTTCCATTCCTTAGGGGGCCTATTTCCTTCTCTTCTAGTCGCTGCTGCTCAATACGTGCCCCCAGGTGAGGCCAGGTTGGAAATGGTCAGCTCTGAGCCGCAAGACTGTCCTTCCCTGGCAACGAGAGAGAGTATTGAGCCGTAAGAGCTACTGTTTGACTTGCTCCACCCTCTGTTTCCCAGAATTTAGCTGAGTGCTGGCTGCATTCTAGGCGTATGGGTCTAAACCCGGTAGTTCCAGAGCGCGGCCCTGAACTGGGTCATCCCTAATTCGTGGAAACATCAGGACACCTTGGGACCCACACTGGAGATGTTTTCCTTCCTTAAAGAAAAAGTGACTGAGCATTTGTAATGTGCCAGGCCCTGTGCTTAGCTCCAGGGATACAAAGTTAAACCAGACAGGGCCCCTGCCTTCAAAAAACCTTCTCTCTTGTAGTCAAGTGACATAGATACAAAGAATGAGATGACTACAGTGCAATGTGATAAAGGCATGCTGCAGCCGGGTGGGAGAATGGGGGTGGGGTGCTGGACAAAGACATGTTCCCAGAAGTGACACTGAGCTGCGTGCTGAGAAAGTTGGCCTAAGCAGCCACAGGCATTCTGGGCTGAGGTTGCATGAAGCAAGAGAGAGCGCTGAGCTTTTGCAGAGCTGCAAGCAGTTCATTACAGCTGGAACGAAGGGTGGGAGGCGATGAGGTGAGCAGATAGCCTGGGAAAATAGGTTGAGGCACAGTCCAACTGGCTTGGCGTGCTGGGCTATGAAGCTGGAATCAATCCAGAAGGCAAAAAGTAACCACTTTCATAAACAGGAAGTTGAGAAGGATCACAGGCAGTATTTTGGAAAATGTACTGATGGGGGGAGGAAAGCACAGTAAAGTAGAAGACTGGGGGGCTGATGGAGGGCAGATTCAAAAGCTGTTAAGGCAGTAGCCTCCACAGCTCTCGGAGACCAATGGATGTTGCCATTGGCTGAGAAGAAACACTCAGGGGTAGTAGGAAAGCTTTCCGGTCCCTGGCAGCACTGGGTAGGAAAGATCAAGTTCGAGAAGTGGGGAGATGAATCCAGCTTTAGGCAGCAGAACGAAACCAGCTGTTAGGTGTGGCAGGGCACGGGGTTAAGTTCTGTTGGCTTTAGGCATCCAATGTAGTGCAGCGCTAAATGTGCATGCAGGTATAAGCAGGTCACCCTAGCCAGGTTTCTCGGAGCACTGGATTTCGTTTTGCACAGTGCTTCTAGGGGCTGGAACCGGGACTCCCACTCTGTGTGTGTGTGTGTGTGTCCGTCGGTGCTGTTCCTGGGACAGACATCCTGCAAATGGGGAGGCACCCGGGCAGCAGAGTTAATGCTGTCAGTCGCTGGAGGGCAACCAAATGCCCCTACTGGGTGCGGCACATTTCTTTTCCTTCATTGTTAGCATTCCATGAGCAAAGGAAATCTGGGCCTTGTTATCTTCCAACACAGTCCACTGTCTAAACAACATCTTCCTACTATACTGAACTGGCCTATTGAAAAGGTCACCACCTCAAAAATTGCATCATACATTATTTTAAAAATAATGACTGTGATAGGCAGAAATATGCCCACCCAAAGATGGCCACGCCCTGGAATCTGTGATTAAGTCAGTTTACACGGCAAGACGGACTTTGCAGTTAAATTAAGCATATCAAGATAAGGAGGTGGTTCTGGATTGTCTGAGTGGGCCCGATGTACAATAATTACAAATTCCCTTGTCAGGGAAAGATCGAGGAGGAGACAGAGGGAGCAGTGGCTGGGAGAGTGAGGCAATGAGCTAACGTCGGCTTGAAGACAGAAGGAAGCCACGAGCCAAGGAGTGCCGGTAGCTTCTAGAAGCTAGAAAGGCAAGGAAATGGATGGTTCTTGAGAGCCCCTGAGAGGAACACAGCCCTGCTGACATCTTTACTGTAGCCCAGTGAGACCTGTTTCTGACCTCCGACCTCCGGAACTGTGAGGTAATCAGTTTGTATTGTTTTAAGCACCTAAGTTGATGGCAGTTAGTCCCAGAAGCAATAGGGAAACTAATATACTGACTGTTCTTCAGGATTTCAGAAGCCCCCTGGTTATAAGCTGCCTAAAAATCAAAACTAGTAAACATGGCCATAAAACCCTCATATGGCTGACCACACATATTATTGTCCTTGGCTTCTGGCCGGCTCTGAAGCCCAGAACACAGGACGCCATGGTTTCCTGAAGGTGGACACTACAGGTAGCTGAGGTAACAACATTCTGCTTTTAAAGACCCTAAGTGCCAGCAGTGCCTTCCCATTACCTGCCCAAAAAGAGCGCTGTAGGCCGCCCCCCTTCGCCAGCACTGAGGTTGTTAGGAAGTCACAGGATTGAAAGGAGCAGCTTTTGGTTTAAGGCTTCTGTGTTCCGAAAGAACTCCTGAGAGTCAGAATCTGTAAGCACACGATCTTTTTGGTAAAATTATGGTTTTGAAAATAGCCCTGTGTTTGCCAGGACCTGCGGAAGGACCTGGGGGAGGGTGTCCCCCGCCCCCTTCCTCAGCGAGAAGGTGGCTGCTGGGCGAGTCCACACTGACACCTAGTGATGCAAAACCGCACTGCCAAAGGCTGGGGGGCGGGGAACCGAAGCAGTTCACATTAATGGGCTCCTCCTTTTTGACGTACCTCTCCCCCCTCCCTGCCCCCTCCTCCTATCCCCCTTCCCCCAAGAGGGCTCAAGACTCAGTGCAGACCAGGTGACTTCAGCTGCCCCAGCACAGCCTTGGACGTCACGCTTCTTTATGCTTGTGTGCACTGGTGCAAAGTTTAACCATCTAAGCGTCTTGCCTCCTAATATTTTTAAATGATGCTTTCTGCACATTTTAAAGCTAAAGATTGTCCTTCTGAAAGCCTTTTTATGCTCCCGGTGGCCAGATACTTGAGTGCCAAATGAGTTTAAGAGCATTTCTATTTTCTAGGTTCACAGGACAATCACTGCGGGTCCTGAGCAAGGAACTACCCCCACCAGGGACTGGCCAGGTGCCGCAGGTCTTGGCCCTTTCGTGCCCCTTGAGCTCTCCCAGCCTCCAGTTCTCACCAACCATGACGCCTGAAGCACAGGGCAACAGCAAAGAATGCCCTTCGACCTTTCCCTTTTCTTCCAACGCACGGGGTGAAAATAAGTCAATGGAGTTAAGATTTCTATTTCCTTCCCAAATGGGGATAAAATGAGAAGCAAGACAGGATTTCGAAGGCGGCCGCAGTGCCCAGGTGAAAAATGATGGGGAGTTGCAGAGCCGCGTGTGTGCACTTCAGGCCACTAAGCCGTGCACTTCACAATTCTTAAAATGGTAAATGTTATGTTATGTATATTATACGAGAATTAAAACAAAATAATGAGAGGCTGACCCGCAGGAGTAATGGTAGGACAGGGAGAGGATTCCAGTCTGATCAAACGACTGGATGCAGGCACATTTTCATATCATTCGTTTGGGCAAAATGTGCAGATGAGGAGCCAGTGAACAGATACTAAACTTACAACCTTCTTATTGAAACAAGCAAATTGAAACAAACATCATGAAATACTCGGATTTTCCCACGGAGCGTGGTTTTCTCCATACATTTAGGACATTTTCTTTCGTGATGTGTAAATATCAGGCTTCAAGGAAATCACACAGATGGATGGGAAAGTAAAATGTGCTGAACTAAAAGCACCCGGATTTTGTAAAGAAACAGGAGTGACACCCCCTGTGAGGCACGCCTCACTCGGCTTTGGCTGTCGGAGGTACAAGAGTGTAAACCCATGGCCGGAACTCAGTTGCCTCTGCGAGTTGAGCACAAACGGAAGGGATAAATAGGAAAGAGCGTCAGACATGACATGTACAAACAGCAGATTCGTAGGTTTTGGTGATCATAAATTGTTATTTTTAGAATTTCTAATCTGTTGAAATAGTGATTCATTGAATTCCCAGGGGGAAATTTAAAAAAACTCTAATTTCTTTAGTAAAACACAGCATTTCAATTAAGTGTTCAGACATACATCCATGTGGTTTTTCCAATATATCTTTTAACAGATGGTTTACTAATAATAAGTTTGTTCTGTTCCTTCATCTCCCCACCAACCAAGGATTGGGGAAGGAAAGGAAATATATTGTCAAGACCAAGATTAATGAGGAGTATGACCGCGGCAATTAGAATTCCATTTTATAATACAGCAGGATTTTGTTTCTACTGAGTTAAAGTTATTTGATAATAGCTCAGGAGTTCCAGGAACAAAAGAGTTTCTTCTGGTGTCCACAAAGAATTTAAAACGTACACCTTAAAAAAATTTTTAAGCCCCACTAAGCAGAAAATTTTCCCTAGCTCAAGGCACAGGGCCTTTGGAGAGACTAGAGTTTTGGGAACTGGGCCGTCTCCTCGAGAATTTCAGTCAACTTGGCCCCATCCAGGGGAAACCCATGTCGGTCCTTGTCCCCTCTGTTCACAGTCCTGCAGTGAGAGTGACCCACAGCCAGACTTGAAATGGCAATGGCTTGATCATCTGAAGAACAGAAACTGTCTTGTTTTTCCTATTTAGTGCAATCAAGCTAATGGCTTTTGTATAATTTTCCAAACTGCTTAATGAATATTTTATGATTTAAAATAATTATCTTTCTTCGCAGGCCACACATAAAGAATCCAGACTTCCTCGTGTGAAGAGCGAAGAGCCTCAGGACGAAGTTTGCTTCTGTCAGGACCGTAATTCCAGGCACAGATCTGCAGACCCATGCCAGTCTGTGCGGAAGTGTTCACAGTGAAACCAGAAAAATGAGGACAAGGCAACATTGCTTTCTGATCTGTGAAAAGCTAAATGTCTATTAACAGCACGATGGTTCCTCAATAAATTAAGCACAAAATGACCACGTGATGCAGCAACCGCACCTCTGGTACGGACCCAAGAGCATCAAAAGCAGAGACTCAAACACACATGCGCATGCCCATGTTCCCAGCAGCGTTATTTACAACGGTCAAAGGGTGGAAGCGACCTGTGTCTGTGAACAGGTGAGTGGGTAAACAGAATGTGGCCTGTCGTACACTGGAATGTTAACCAGACTTAGAAAGGAAGGCAATTCTGACGTACTAAAACATGGGTGAATCTTGAAGACATTATGCTAAGTGAAATAAGCCAGCCACAAAAAAGACAAACACCATCCAGTTCTACTTATGGAGGGACCTAGAGAAGTCCAATTCATAGAGACAGGAAGTAGGGTCATGGGTGCTGGGGACTGGGGGCAGAGGGAACTGGTGAGATGTTGTTAATGGGGACAGAGTTTCAGTTGTGCGGGGTGGAAGGAATTCTGGAGATCAATTGCACAGCGGTGGAATGTAATGAACAACGCTGAAAACCTTAAAATGGTTAAGATCATTTTATGTTATGTGTAATTTACCAGAATAAAAAAATTTCTTTACAATATCCTAAAGCTAAATGTATTCCATTTATAAGACTTCCCTCCAGTTCAAGGTTATGTCCTTTCTGCTCTTTTGATAGATTTAGGCAGATTTGTTTTTCTGTTTATTTCAAGTTCTTTAGTTTTGTCACTTCAGACAATGAAAAATTCACATTCTGCTATTGAACCCTGAGCTCATTTTGAATTTTTCTTGGCCTCCAAAACCTGCAAGAGGGGAACCATGGCTCCAGAGATCAGTGGTCCTGTCCTTTGATTTCCCTGCCTGGAGTGGTAGGATACACAGCCAGCAACCTGAGCAATAGGGCTTATTGTCAGCTAGAATTTTAGCCCTAATGGGGGGAGGGTACATATCAGAATGGCTGGGAGTTGTATGTACTAGTCATAGGTATAAATGTTTCTAAAAGGGACCTCTCCTTGCCTCCCAGGTGGCATTGACCCCTCCCCAAACTTAGCTAAACTGAGAATTCCTGCCTCCTAGTACTAATACAGCCAAAATATTTCAGCGGAGCTATAAAGGACCTGGCCACCTCCTTGATTAAGTCATCATGCTGCCTTCTCTACAAGGCTGTGCCTTGGCCTCCTAGCAAGTGGGTGGGACTTCCAGGAGAGGCACATCCTTCTGAAATACCCAACAACCAATGCGGCAGGAAGGCTTCCTTTATTTCTAACACCAACCCTTCACCTTGGAATTTGAACACATTTTTCCTTCCTCTTCAGGCCACATCATTTAGTTATTCTGGGCTATTCTTTCCTCGGAGGAGGAAATCAAAGGAATTAAGTCAGTTCTTTCATGGTGTGGCTTGTAATCCATCAGTGGGTCCATTAAGCATGACCAGCAATTTTTTTTCTAAAAAAAGAGAATTGAGAGACTAGAAAAATCAAAACATATCACATGTAGAAAAGGTATTGTTTCATGAGCTTTATATATACTCTGGGCTGACACATAAAATGTGTCTATGAATGTGGGCAATCATCAAAGAAGTTAGAAAAACCATCAGATTCATTAAATAATCTCTATGATATGCTACAACTTACCACTGTATGAATCTCACTTTTCTAGTAAACAATCACCCACACCAGCTCACTGTCCCTCTAACAAGTCCAAGGAGCTCCTACCCATCCTTGAGATTAATGTGGTTTCCTATGAGCAGTCTGCCTTGATTCCTTCCTGCAGACTCGGACATCAGGCCCGCCCCTGGATGTCCCCTGGCCCTCGGGATAATGAGTTTCACAGTGCTTACTCTACTATATTGGCAGTGTTTGCCCATCTCCCCAGCAAGGCGTGTTTCAGTGAGGTCGGATGCACAGAAGGTGAATGCGGGAGGGAGAGAAGGAAGGAACCAACTGCTGCATGTGCTTAAGGCAGCGGTTTTCGGACAGATGTCACATCAGAATCCCCTGGGGAAGCTTTTAGAAGCGCAACAGCCTGACCACACTCAGACGATTCAGGTAGAATGCTGACAGTGGAAGCCAGGCACCAGGAATCCTTAAGGCTCCCCAGGGGAGTTCAATGTGCAGACAAGGTTAAGACCCGCTGGATAGACCAGGACCTGGTCTCTCACAAAGCAGATTCTGATTCCCTGGGGCTGGAGTGGAGCTCACAGTTCTTTGTAACATACTTCCAGGTGATACTGAGGCTCCGGGTCCGCAGGCTAGACTTTGAGGAGCAAAGAAAGAGTACTCGATGGATGCTGGCAACAGAAAATGAGCTGAGAGAGCAACCTCGAACAGACCTGCAAAGCAGAGAGGGAATACAGCCATGCAGTTTCTGGAATTCGCTGACTGGCACAGTTTCTTACTAGCTACCTGATGTCGGGCTGGTTACTAGAAGGATTTCCCGTGTGATAACGAAGGTACAACAATAACTTAGCTCCTAGGGTGCTTGTGAGGACCAAGCAGCACACTTCACAGAGATCCTGGCACACACATGTTCATTACTGGTATTCTGATTATGTATCCCAACCCACTTAACTAGCTTTGTGCCCTTGGTAAATTACCTAAACTCCCTGAGCTTCAGTTTCCTCAAATGTGAAATGGGAAATCACAAAATCCATCTTACAAGAGTGGCTTTACAGAAAGAAGTGGTATGTAACATTCTTAGCTCGGTATTTGACCTGTGTGCTTGTTCAAAAAATGGCTAATCTTCTAATTAGTTTTGTTTGTATTGGGATAATTCACTCTGACCTCCTGTAGGGGCATTCTCTCTATAACCATCTGTCAGATCTCCGAATCTCCTGCCCCCACCCTCCACAGGCCCTAGGCTGCAGGGACAGATGACAGGAGATGGGGAGGATATGTCACTCTTTATGTCAACATGTTACACTTCAACAGCAGGATTCGTTTTTTATCACCCTCCTGAGCTCACACGGGTAGGTCTGGGCAGCAGCCATTACCCTCCCTATTACTTTACAGATGAAGAAGAAATAAACTTGGCTAGGACACATTGGATTTTCTCAAGCAAGTCCCATATGGAGGATAAAAGCTCTTACTTCTAATCAGAGCCAGCAAAAAGACTTGTGGTTTCATGCTTCTCTAAAACCTCTTTTACAAATGCTTGGCAGGCCTGCCATGTGCCAGGTGCTGTGCCATATTCAAAGCAGAACCTGTAACAGTGATTTGAACAAATTGCCATAGGATTGCAACGGGGGTCTAGGGGTTGGGATGGCAGGATATGATGTTTCACAGAACAGGCAGTATTTTGGCTGGGTGGCGAAAGTTAAGGAGAGGTTGAGAAGTGGGAAATGGGGGGAACGGTGTTCGGGCAGAGAGACAGCTCAGGCAGTGAGGATGAGGTGGGAAAGAGCTTTGGTGTGACTGGGGGAGGACAGGCAGCCAGAGTGAAGAAGATTGAGCTAGAAAGTGAGCCCGGGGCCAGATGGTACGCCTGATCAAAGAGTCTGGATTTCATCGTATTAGCTGGGGTAAGATGACCACATAATTCATCATCTAAATGGGTGGCTTTTAAAAGTAAAAGGACATGCTAACCAGATGGAATAACAGAGCACCCAACATAAAACTGCACTTCCGGGCTAGCAGGGGCCTCCCTTTGGGAGGCCTCCGAGGCCTGACACTGATCAGAGCTGTGTGTTACAGAGGAAATCATTCCAGTGGCCGTGAGCTTGGGAGAGAGGGGGTTGCCTACAGTCAGGGAGATAGCTAGGAATGCAGTGGGGGTGGAGAAGAGAGACATCTAGTGATGCTTTTGTCAGAAATATAATGGACTGAATATAAAAAGAGAGATAATATTTCATAGCTCAGCATTTCCAGGCTTGGCGGGGGGGGGGTGTGGGGACTAATGAAGATAAGAAGAGGAGCGGGTTTGGGGAAACAGTTCGTACAGTCTGAGGCACATGGAGTTGGAGATATTTACTTAATACTGGTGTCAACATCAGTTTCCCGCAGGCCTTTGCAGCTCAGGGCATGGAAGTCACAGGCGGAGACTGGGGATATAGATTTTGTTGTTATAGGAGATAATACTAGAAGGAAGAAGAGGAAGCAGGGAAGTTAGGGGGAGTCAGAGCCGTAGGAGGAAAAACAAGAGGGAGGCTAGCCCAGAAGGTGATAGAAGGAAGAGAAGATTTGGGGTGTTGGAGACCAGTTCACTCACTGAGCACTCTCACACAGGAAGAGAATGATGAACACTGGCATCCTACTTGACAGGCGAGCACCCATCACCGCTGATCTTCTCAGGGCTGTGGAGGCTGAAGGCTGCATGGGAATGCTGACTGGGAGGCAACCGCAGACCACTGTTTCCAGGAGGCTAATGACGACCACAGGAGAGAGAGTTCCAGCAGCTGGACGGGGAAGTGGTTTCCCTGCTTTATTTTCCTAATGCCGCTTTAAGTCTGGTGTAAACATGTGATCAGAAAGTTAAGAAAAAGCAGCTGAATTTACCCTCAGTCCCCTGAGTTTCACTTTCAGTCACAAGAGCTGAACTTGAAGTGCTTTTCCTCGTCCAGAGGGATGGAGGCTTTAAGCACTTAGGCTGAGACTGTGTTTTCCAGCCACCAGTCTTGATGCTTTGGCTTGTACTCAGAGGCAACTTGGTAGTGGTCCCATCAGAGCATTTTAGTGTCTGATGCTTTTGCACATTAGCCTTGTAGGGCACCATCACTTAGCTTTCATAAACAGTGAAAAGATCAATTTAAAAAATTTTACCTGATGAATATTCATGATTCTTCGTAAGACCAAAGATGGCTGAATCAGTGCCCTTAGAGCCTGGAGAATGACAAAGATGGTGTCAGGCTTCCCGAATTCTCAAGGCCTTGGCTAATCTTGGTCTAAGGATATGCAGGTCACCAACCTGGTCCTTGTGGTAGGTCATCTCCAGCAACAGAGACTTATGGGCTCCACTCTAATATAAAGCTAGAGAGAAAACCAGGCAATATAAAGTTCAGAGAAAGGGGATTCCCTTGAAGAATAAATAGAGAGGGCAACACTCTGAGAAGTTGCAACTACCAAGGGCCGCAATTCTTGCCTTTACTTTCTGCTGCGTGAAGGGATAAACGGAAATAATTTGCTAGGATTCAGAAGTGTTCCTACAGATAGAACACATGAGTTATATTGGTAACAGCTCTCCTCTTTAATCTCTTACCGTAATTCTCATTTAAAATTTCTCAGTCACCTTGTACCTTCGTTATATCTCTACCACTTCTTTATCATACTGGCTGTGTGCATAATAACTTTTGTTTCTCAAATTTCAAACACCAACATTGCTACCATCTGTCAATCTCAGGTGAGTCCACTCCAGTCATGGGGGATTCAGGCCCCTGGTCAATCTCCTTCTCCCCCAAGTGGTATCATCATCCTCTTGGAAGATTTCAGAACCCGTATGGGCACCATCTGTCTTGGTCTACTCCTGCTGCTGAAACAAAACACCATCAACTGGGCAGCTCTGAAACAATAAATTGATTCCTCACAGTTCTGAAGCTGGGAAGTCCAAGATCAAGGCGTTGGTAGATTTGGTCCCTGGTAAAGTTCTGCTTTCTAGAAGGCCAATTTTCATGGCAACTGTACCTGTTGGAAGGAGTTTGGGAACTCTCTGGAGCCTCTTTTGAGGACACTAATCCCATTCATAACAATACCACCTTCATGACCTAATCACCTTCCAGTACAAAGGGGTTAGTATTTCAACATAAGAATTTGGAGCAGGGACATGGACATTCAAACCTCCCATCAGCCTGGCCTCAAAATCCATTACTTGCTCCCCTCCCCATAGCAGTGACATTCACTTACACTTCACCCCAACTGGCCATCCATTCCCATGACCTTACCCTGGACATTGTTACCGCTTGAAAGCATACCACCCCTGAGAGTATATAACTTCAGCACTATTCTTTCAAAATACTCTTTTTGTAGAAAAAAACATTTATGTATTTGTTTGTTTGTTTACTTTTAGAGAGAGGGGAAGGGAGGGAGAAAGAAGGAGAGAACCATCAATAAGTTGCCTCTCTCATACCCCCAGTGGGGGACCTGGCCTGCAACCCAGGCATGTACCCTGATGGGGAAGTCGAGCTGGAAACCTTTTGCTTTGCCAGACAACACCCAACCCACTGAGCCATGCTGGTCAGGGCCAGAACACTCACTTTTTATCCAATTAAGAATGAACTCACTGGAGTAATTAATGTCAGTGAGAATGGTGGAGTAAGAATATCCAAAAATTTTCTCCTCCATAAAGCAGTGAAAAGATTAACAAAAAAAAAAAAGGTCAGAATCAACTTTTCCAGAACTCTAGAAATTAATCAAAGACTTGCGACAATCCAATGAGTGTTTATTCAAATAAAACCATTGAATCTCATTAAGAACCATGAGCTCATTTCGACCTGCACCCATCACCCACTGGCCTCAGTTCTACAGTAGTCTTGAAAATCACCAGCCCACAATCACAATGCAAACCTGCGCTGGCAGCCACTGAAGGGGGCACAATAGGACTAGAGCACCTTCAAAGCCTCATCTTGGAGTACCATCTGGTAGTTCCCTGAGATTCCAATTGCAAGGCAGTCTTTATTTGACTTGATTTGAAGCTTACCCAGTCTGAAAAGCCTTTTCCCTGGGGACTTTGGTTGAGAACACACAGAAGCAATTGTTTAGGCAGTAAATAACAGAGAACAATGGGCTAACCAAAAAGCTTAGAAGGAAGAGCTGGGGAATGAGATGCCCAGATTCCTGAAAAACTTGAAGGCATGGGCATGCATAGAGCTATGCAAGTGCCCAGGGCTGTGGGAATACTCAGGAAGAACCAGAGAAGGCCCTAAAGTCTCATTTCTATGCACCCTAACCTCGAAGCTGTGCGCAAGCAGGAAGGGAAGGATAAGGCGGAGTTGCTGACTGTCTGGCTGCATGTCGAAGGTGTGCCCTAACATGCACACAGAGCCCTTCTGTGGAGCTGGGAGAATGACTGGTTTCCAGCATTTAAGAAAATCTCAATTTTTGTCGTACTGCAAAGATTAACCAGGTGCCACATACTGATGGATGTCTAATCATGACCTGACCACTGAGCAGACTTAGTGTCAGAAATAAACAAAAACCATCAGAAATGAAGGAAGAAAGAGACAGTTCAACAATAACACTTGGCAACTTCAATCTGACACTTTCAGTAATGAGCAGAATGACTAAACAGAAGATCAACAAGAAAACACTATAAACCAACCGGACTTAATAGACATCTACCAAACACTCCACTGGACACAATACACATTTTCCTTCAGGGCACAGGGAACACACCGCAGCACAGACAATATGCTAGGCTATCAAGCATGTGCAAAACAAGTTTAACATAAAACATTTTAAAAGACTGAAGTTGCAAAGTGTTTTCTCGGACTGCTATGGAATGAAATTGAAATTGATGAACAGAGGAAAATTTAGAGAATTCTCAAATAAGATGGAAGTTAAACAACATGTTCCCAAATAAACTATAAGCCAAAGAAAATCACAAAAGAAATTAGAAAATACTTTGGGAGGAATAAAAATAAAAACACAGCATACTAAAGCTTAGGAGATACAGTGAAAGCAATGATTAGAGAGAAATTTATAGCTGTGAACACCTACATGCAAAAAGAAAAGGGTATCAAATCAGTAACACAACCACTAGAAAAGGAAGAGCATGCTAAACTCAAAGCACATACAAAGAAAGAAACAGTGCAGATTAGAGTAAAAAAGAAATAAAATAGAGGAAAGAAAAACAAGAGCAAAACTCAATGAAAACAAAAAGTTGATTCTTTGTAAGCATAAAACTATTATTTCTTCTGTTGTACAACTGGCAAAACCGAGGCTTAGAGACATTACATCATTAGCTCAAGGCCACACTGCTAGTAAGTGGTGGGTTAGGATTTGAACTCAGATGTGGCTCTTGAACTTCTAAGTTATATCGACAACTTTACAGGCAGAATTGTCAAACATTTCACAGGAAACAGGTTAAATGGCCAAAAGCTATCTTCCCTTCATCCTACTGCTGTTTCCTCTGCATTTCCCCACACAAATCCTCAATGGCATTTTTCTACAATTAGTATTAGCAATCAAATCACTTACTACTCTTTTTTAAACTAAAAGAATACCATTATTTCTCTAAATCATAACAATTTTTAAAGCTCTATGCTCTCAACCCGTGTGATGATTAATTTTTATGTATTAGCTTGACTGGGCTCAGGGACGCCCAGACAGCTGGTAAAACATCATTCTAGGTAAGGGTGTCTCAGGGAGAGATCAGCGTGTGAACCAGTGCGCTGAGTGAAGAAGATGGCCCCTCCCGTGCAGGTGGGCACCATCCAGTCCACATGGGCCTGAGTAGGACGAAAAGGTGGAGGAAAGGAGGATTCCCTCTCTACTTGAGCTGGGACATCATTTTTTCCTGCCCTTGGATGTCACCACCTAGCTCTTCAGTCTTCAGACTCAGACTGAATTCTGTCACAGATTTTCTGGTCCTCAGACAGCAGACTGTGGCACCTCTTGCCGTGTATATATGTATATATGTATGTAGATAAGAACATATGTTTATATATCCTATTAGCTCTATTCATCTGGAGAACCCCGACTGAAACTACCCAGCACCACAGTACACCAACCTCCAGAAAGCCCAAAGCACGAAACTCAGGTCTGCTGCAAAGGAAGCGCTTTGGTGTTAGAAAATCTGTTGGTGTTTTCCAGTGAAAACACACCTCCTAGAAAGGAGAGGGTCCCTGAAGACAAGATGATTTTACATTGAAGAAAGCTTGATTTTATTTTTTTAAAAAAGGCCAAAGCCATGCAGAAGAACAATAAGGAGCAAGGTGAGTGCTGGTCTGTACCATTTCCCATCCATTCAGCTGGACGCACTGCAGACATCAGCACCATCGACTGGTACAGACATTTCTAGAAAGCTCACTTACAATGGAAAGTGCTGCTGATTTCACAGTCACAACTCATATTAATCTGCCGTGTGTCCTGTGTGAAACCCAGGGACAGATGTTGTAAATCCAACCACACTCACCATCCACTTCAACGGATCCGAGGGCGACATCTGGTCCAGGGCACGGGAGAACCTGATGTATCGGGCAGAGGACAAGTGACTGCACAGGGAAAGCTAATGTGTGGTGATTTCCCTGTTCATAGCTTTCAGGGACATATGCTGAGTGGCATTCACTGTTCATTAGCCCAGACACCTCTGAGAGAGTTTGCCTCGACTGCTGTGAATCTCATATTCAAGCAGCATGTGGATAGCCGTGTATATTCATGAGGACAAAAAAAAACCTGGTGTGCTTTTGAAAAAGAAAGGTCAGCAAAGGCCAAAGAATTTAAAATGTAGCTCCATGTCAACTGGAGCAGGGCTAACAAGTATAACACACACAACATACACGGGCACAATCTCACCCCGCGAGTTGAGCCCTTGGCCAACATCATCCATCAATCATGGTGGGTGATCATGTTGAGACTGACCTCTGACTCTGTTTCAGCTCAGGGCTCCTGAGAGCCATGACTGGTCCTTCAGCCTTGACTCTCAAGAAAATTCACCATCCCTGGTCTAGCTTCCCCAGTGGGTTGGGGACAGCATCTCATGTCTTTTTAGCTGCATATGCCCTGCTCATCTTCCTGCCACTGTGCCCCAAGTTCTAGCTCTCCTTGCTCAAGGCATCCTTATCGTCCTTCATTCTCTATGACCTTCCATGGTAACAGCTTGCCCAAGGGATACAGACACAGTTAGGGACAACATTCAGTGTATTTGACAACTGGCTCAGCGCAGGTGCGGGTCAAGGAGAATGGCTCCCAGCCATGAACACCATGGAGACAGCCCTGCTCACAGTGCCAGTTACCTTGGAGAGGTGTGGCAGCCAGCCAGGGTGTCAGCACTTTCCTGCAGCATTTGCAAGATGGGCTGACTCTCACCCTCAATG